AGCTGAACGTTTTTAGTTTTTCAGTTTTTTTGTATTATCTGAAAGTTTTAAAACATGCATGTCATATTCTTTTGAAATCGAATTGACATGTGGTTTTTTCGAACTTAGAGTTTAGCGTTTTGGCATCAGTTAAAACTATAATTTTGTCATTTTTTGTTTAATATTCAATGATTTGCAGTCCCCCGAAGTCGGGATCTCAAAACAGAAAAATTAGCTATATGTTTATATACTTTGTATTATGTAAAAATGTTAACACATGCATATCTCATTCGTTTAAAGTCAGATTGACATGCTGTTTTTTTCATACTGTAGTTTATAGTTTGTAAATGATTTTAGACTATAATTTTGTAAATTTTGATTTTATATTTAATGAGTTACAGTCCCACAAAATCGGGATATCAATATGATGATTTTCAATGTTAAAACCACTAAGTAGTAAACAATTAGTAAAAAATTCTGGTTTTTCTGGTTCTAAACCCACTTTATCCGGTTCGAGCCTACCCACTTTTATATTTTCCGGTTTTCTGATTCTAGACCCACTTAACCCGGTACCGTACCCGAAACCGAACGGGAACCGGGTCCTATATACAGGTCCGGTTTATGGTTCTAAAAAGTCTCATTAACCGGTTCTTGGTTTTCTGGGTCTAGGTCCACCCAGTCCAGTTTGGACCCACTTTCATCTCTATTTCCAGCTATACACGTTACCGGTTTAACCTATGAAAAGAGAGAAAACAATTTTTTTACAAGTTTCCGGTATATAACGAACAACAACTCTGTCAAATGGTAAAACCGCAAATTCCTGAAAAACTTAAGGGTTTTGATGACATAATCCCTATTTTGAAATTTTCATTTGGCCCTAATGCATGAATGCTTCTTCACGGCCACTTTTCATAATCAATGAGTGATGCCCGATGTTTGAATTTTCAACCGAAGTCAGTTGTCACGACGTGAAAAACCAATAATCATTTGACAAAACCTTCCCAAAAATAAGAATCAAAACGCATAGTGTGCACCAACAATGACCTTGTGCGAACTCTCCTTTTCCAAGCTCATTTGCCAACATGGGCCAAAACATAGATTATTAATACACATAACATAAATACACGAAATTTCTTTTCTTTTTATTATAAATTCATAAATGTTAATAGTGTTCTTAAAAATAACATTTGTGGTTTCATAGCTACTTACATCCGGCCAATAAATTGCATACCTCTCAAAGCCACTTCACCACTACTTCCATATTCAGCTTAGCATAAAAAAAAAATGTTTCAAGTGGTTCTCAAGGAAAGTTAGTGTTTTGATCGACATGACTTGTATTTGAATCCGGTATCACATTTATACGGCCCACAGATTCTCATTCCCCGATTTGTGATTTCCTTCATTGTGGGTGTTATTTAGTATTATCAAATCATTTAGAGACTTTGGATTATTTGGAATTTTGCACTTGAATCTGCTAACAACTAATGGTAAACTTTGTTATTTGGTCAAAAGTAATTATTGTTCATTGAACCTTCCTTTGATCAAAAGACAATTTGCACATCTCAACATGTTTTTCTTGAGTGATTGTTCCATTCGACATTTCCTATACTCGGAGAAGTATATGCATATTCGAAATGACATTTAGGCTTGTAATATTTCTGATGCATTTATATATATATTATATATATATATATATATATATATATATATATATATATATAATTGCATCTTTACAAATATTTAATTTCTGAGATATATTTTGTAATTTACATGTTTCCTTGTAATAACATAACCGCAAATACACTTAATTTACAATAAGTACCCTTGATGTTCCACAATTATGCAGTCGGGTAGGAAGCCATCATGGCAATGCCACAAAGGCCTTCTTGCGCATCAACATCTCTTTGCATCATTATGTACCCCTCTTGACCCCAACTTGTTCCCCAAGAGTTCTTCACCAGCCAATATTTAGTTCCGTCAGCACTCGCTCCATAACCAACCGCAGTAACACCATGGTCTAGTTCAGTACCACATTCTCCTGTAAACACCCCGCTAGAGTAGAATTGGAAGTCAGACCCACTAGCATCAATGGCCACAGAAATAGGCTGACTAGCTACAGCTTTCAATAGTGCACTTTCACTATTTGCAGGAACATCTTCATGACCCGTAATGGCTGCAGCATGATTAGATTCCTCGTTGCTGTTGCATGTGCCATCGACTCCTTTGTACGGGTAGTTGCTCTCTGTAGTAAGACCTTTATTGTTTAAGATGAAATCAAAGGCGTCGTCCATAAGACCGCCCTCACATCCCTGATCCTGTCCACCGGTGTCACAGTCCACGAGCTCTTGTTCGGATAGAGAGACCAATTTACCTGTTTTCAGTTGGGTTATTCCTTCCATAGCCGCCACAGCTGAAAACGCCCAGCAACACCCTACAAACATATATGATATGATATAGAGTTTAAATATGGTCTTGTAAGAAACATAACTTAATTAGTAATTAGACTACGTCTCAAATTTGAAATTTTCGTAGTAGTTTTAGCTTACCACATTGGCCTTGGTCTTTAACAGGTGTTACTGCGCCTTTCTTTCTCCAGTCCATTGATGATGGAACTGCTGTCACATTTTCATACCTGAAAGCAGAGGTCGATGGGGAACATTCATGTGCCTTGAATCGGTTCCTTGTGCTCGTGAACTCTTCGTTTGTGAGGTCTGCAAACTCATTAACTGCTAGTTTGTAAGCTTTGTTCATGGCACTGTTGGATGACTCTATGTAACGAACATTCTCTTCGAAAAATCTTTGAACGTTGTTCTTTCTCATCAACATCCTTGTACACGCGTCCATAATGAGCCATCCATTGTTCGTGGCCCTCATAGCTTGGAGCTTCAGGGAGCAATCTAGATGTAGTGTGTGAAAGCAAAGTAGCGTAGAAAAAGATTAATACCAAAAAAGTATGGGTTGTCCGGTTTATTGATGTCATAATTTTGGTAGATACAAGAGAAAATGGATGTGAATGATGATTTGGAATAATTTCTTTGCCCACAGGTCTACTTTATATAGAAACACATTGTTTCATCATTGTTTGGGAAACTATATATATATATATATATATATATATATATATATATATATATATATATATCACCGTTCGTGGAAGATATGATGTTCAATTGATATATATTAATTAATATGAGGAAAACATACATGTTACGTTGTTTAGATTTATGATTGATGCCACTAATTTACTTGGATTTTTCCTTTGGACTATACTCATGTTGACTAAAATTGTTGTGTACTAATTTGTTTTCTTAACATAGGCATAGGTAGGCTATATAAAAGCTTACAGAACATAGTTTGGCCGTTATTTTGGGTGTAGTTGTGTCCTTTACGAAAGAAATTCTCTGAAGGTCTGATACGACTAACAGATTTTTTTATTTCTAACATTTTTTTATTACTCGCTTTTAGATGTTCAAGCGCAGATATGCATGCCTTTATTCTATTTATCTCCATCTCGGTTTATGTTAACTTTACCGACACATTGAATGCATTTGAAGAATACAAGGCAGTAAAGGATTTGATTGGTTGTACAAAATATCAATGTCATCACAACATACATTGCAATTACAAGAAGCTTGTTATATGTAATATATCTTGATCCCTCAACCAGACTTGCAGTATCCCCAAAACGATCAAGAAAAATAATATTTCAAGAGGGATTATGCCATAAAACCCATAAGTTTTTTAAGAAATTTACAGTTTTACCTTTCGACGGAATTTTTGTTCGTTGATACCGTAAAGTTGTAATAACGAATTGGTTTTTGCCCTTTTTACAGGTAAATTTTATTGTC